TCTTTCAGTATTTCACCCACAGCAAAGGCCTTGAGTAGTTCTATGATACATTAATTAAATGAGTGACGTCAGCATATTTTTGCCGTGTCTAAAAGCTTATGAGATTAGTAAGATTTATGTAATATAATAATAATAATAATAATAAGAACTGTTAAATAACAGTTAAGTGAGCAGACTTAAAAATATGAATGTTGTGCAATATGTTGTGGTTTTATATGAAACATACTTTCAGTTGCATTAAAAAAGTATGTAAATGTGAACCAAAACCACTTTCGAAAAAGCGAGCATTGTTCAACCAAATTGTTAGTAGTAAAACATATGTATGTAAGCACTCACCAGCTGGTCCCATTGGTTGTCCCGGTGGCCCCATCGGTTGCGCTGGTGGTGGCATTCCTGGTTGCGTTACTATTGGACCTTGTGGCCCATAACCTGGTCCTGGTTGATAGCCTCCACCGCCATTGAACTGCGGCTGTGGTTGAGGCATGCCGCCATAAGGTGGATGCTGACCCCCATAAGGCGGTTGTTGACCACCATAAGGTGGCTGTTGTCCGCCATAAGGAAGTTGTTGTCCACCATATGGCGATTGTGGACCACCGTAATTCGGTGGAGCCTCACCGTAGGGAGGCATTTGAGGAACGGGCGTATAACCACTTTGCGGCTGTCCTGGCACAAAACCCTTATCAAACAAAAAAGAAAGCAGCATTAATAATTAATATAATAATCTTAATCAATCTTATATGTATAAATGTGGAGATTCTGTGTAAAAGAAGAAAACAAATAATGATTTCACAATCGGGGGCGTTCATCAAAATATTTATAATCGTAAATCTTACAACAAATACTGGCAACTTTTAAGATAAAAACTTTATTATTTTATTAAAACTAGTTCTTATCTGTTATATAATATACATATGCATATCCACGTAATTCATGGCCGCACATTAAGGTGAAGTTTCTTTCAAAATGTTATACCGTGAACAGGGTATATTAAGTTTGTCAGGATGTTTGTAACACCCAGAAGGAAGCGTCGGAGACCCTATAAAGTATATACATATATAAATGGTCAGTATGTTGTCTGTCCGTCCGTCTGTCCGTTTGTATATATACGAACTAGTTCCTCAGTTTTAAAGATATCGTTTTGGAATTTTGCAAACGTCATTTTCCCTTCAAGAAGCTGCGCATTTCTTGTTGTTTTAACGGTTATCAGTCCTCGTTGGGATAGTGAGGGTTATCAGTGTTGTCGTCGACGTCATCTAACGGGAGGCCCAGGTAACGTGCTGCTTCGACGGTTTCGGACCAAAGGGAAAAGGGTGTTAGATGGGTGGGGTTGGTAGGACATGCAAAGCGTGCGGAGACTCGTTGCATGCAGGACAAACGTTGGGTAAGTTAAGGTCTATTCTGGATAAGTAAGAGTTTAACCTGCTACAATATCCAGAACGAAGTTCCGCTAGGGTCACTCGCGTTTCTAACGGCAACTCGAGCTCTTCGTCTGCTATGGGTGGTGGTTAGACTCCAAGAACGCCATTCAAGGGAAGTGAATCGGGGAAGGTGTTGATGGCTCCACTGTGAATGGCGGTCGGTGCCTGTCGAAAGTCTGTTGCTGTGGTTTCTACGAAAACATCCTAGCAGCAACTAAGAACTAACAAGGAGCATGCATCAACTTCTTTGTAAAATATGGTCGGACGAAAGCATGCCCAACGATTGGAATTTAAGTATGCGTATGCGTATGCATTTTCTATGTTTGCTTATTCAAAGTATACATTTAAGTCCGTTCCCACGACAGTCGGGTCTACGAATACCGGAACGGACCCGGATTTTTATCCGGCCAAGGACTGTCAACTCGGCAGAATTCTGCCGTTACAACAACAACAACAACATTGGAATTTAAGTGTGCTATGCCAAATCCACAAAAAAGGAGACCCCACAATCAGCGCTAACTACCGAGGGACAAGCCTCCTCAATATCGCATATAACCTTATATATATATCGAGCGTATTGTGTGAAAGATTAAAGCCCACCGTCAACAAACAGATTGGACCTTATCAGTGTGTCTTTGGACCTGGCAAATCAACAACCGACCAGATATATGCGCCAAATCTTGGAAAAGATAATATTGATATCGGCCTCAACACCCGCACCGTTAGTTCTGCTTTCTCCAGACTGTACAAGGAAGCAAAGCAAATAGGTCTGGCACTGAACGAGGGCAAGGCGAAATATCTCCTGTTATCAAACAAACAGTCGTCGCACTCGCGACTTGGCTCTCACGTCACTGTTGAAGTCGTAGATAATTTCGTCTATCTTGGAACCAGTATAAATACCATTAACAATGTCAGCCTGGAAATCCAACGCAGGATAACTCTTGCCAACAGGTGCTACTTCGGACTGAGTAGGCAATTGAGAAGCAAAGTCCTCTCTCGACGAACAAAAACCAAACTCTATGAGTCACTCATAATTCCCGTCCTGCTATATGGTGCAGAGGCTTGGACGATGACAACAACTGATGAGTCGACGTTTTCGAGAGAAAAGTTCAAATAATACATGGAAGGAAAGTAATCGACTTTAACCCTATTGATACGGCGAACATATTGAAAAATATTTTCCGAAGACTTATTGACAGGGGCAAAGTGGGTATTTTTTCCGAAGTGGTGGATGCCGATAATCACAAAATTCAACTATTACTTGTAAGCATGTTTTCTTGCAATAGCAAACTGCAATTCATTAAATATACAAAAATAGCAACAGAAAAGTATACTATCCAAAATTAAGGGAACATGTACATCTAATTATAGGTAATTGCGAAAAATGTCGGCTTTCGTAAAGAACCCAGTTCTTGTTTCAATTAAATACCGCGACCGAAAACCGAAAAAAGTAATAAGCACAGTACGGTGAATAGAGAATTGCTGCCATACAAACTGGATGATCGCAATCAAGTTCTTGTATGGAAAACTTTTACATTTTACAATGTATCTTCGCGAAATTTGGTATAGATTTTTTTCTAAGGCAACAATGTAATCTCCGAAAAAATTGTTCAGATCGGATTACTATAGCATATAGCTTCCATACAAACTTAGAACATAGTTACTAAAAGAAATGCACCTGCGAAGGGTATATTAGCTTCGGTGCACACAATTTAATTATTATGTTAATTATTATTAAATTGTGTACTTTTGTTCACTATTAATACAAATCAGAAAATAAAAGTCGAAAATTCAGTACAATGCATACCATATGATCAGGTTCTTTAAACATAGCATACATATGCTTGTATCTTGAGATTCTAATTATTGAAAATTCTAATTTGTGAGCGCTGACTATTTATACCAAATGCATTTTTTTAACTTACATATGTACATAAAGTGTACATATATATTTATTATTTCGAAATAGCATATATATATTTTTAGCTGGAGAATACAAAAGTGTCTATTTAAACTAATAGCGTATTTATTTTGGTAATATAGGGCACATTTTATGTTTTATACTATTTTATAGCATACTTTTCAAAAACAGAATGTCTTCATATAGTGGAATTTACTTTAGGATTAATAAAATATTAACATCTAAAAACTTTAACTTTAGCTGCACCGCAGTCATAATACATTTCTAATAGTATATTAGGGTGTACAAAGGATTTTTATTGATTATTTATTGATTGTGATAGGTCAGTTTGAATGGCGGCAGTCTATTATAGCAGTCCCGAACAATATGTTCGTGAAGGTATCTTGTCAAATAAAAAAGTTTTTTATACAAGAGCTGAATTTTGATCGACTGATTGTTCGCGACTTCGCATATAACCTAATTCGACTTACTTTCTACAGGTTTTCGATTGAAGGCACAATTAAGACATTAGCACTTTTAGAGAACAACATTATTTTCTGATTCGCGTCGCTTAAGAAAATATTACGCTTTTTCATAACAGCCTTGCAAATCAAGTTTTTGTGTTATTTTACTAGACTTCTGCATCTCACTTCATTACTTGCAAAATTTTTATTTGTCTCCAAGTTACAATGTGAGTATGTTTTTTTGGAGGTAAGAAGAGTGAGGAGTCAGATCCAAAGGTGAAACGAAATAACTCCACAAAGAATACCTCATCATAATAGCAGGACCGCGATTGTAAAATAATTTTTATTTTCCTAATATGCGGTTTTATGTCATGAATAGCCTTCTGTTATTTTGTCTAACACGACTGTATACATTTTCTTTTCACATAATTGCATTAAACTGACTCAAGTGTAGTACCAAAATAAGTAACAAGCCCAATTCAAACTAGTATTTGATATTTTTTTTATAAATCTGTATCAAAAATTAAGGTATTACTAATAAGCCATATACATGCATACGGAAACGCCCCCTATTGTGTGAAATTATGCCAGTACGTTACTTACATATGCTCCCGGTGCTGACGGTTGATACCCTTCCGCTTGAGGCATGTTAGGAACATTTCCTTCTGGTGGATATCCAGCTCCGAATCCCGGTGGTACATATCCGCCCTTATTTATATTACTCATTGGCATTGACATTGTGCGTTGAAACAACGGACTAACAAGAAAATTTGTGTCAATTGGGCTTTCTCTGGCAAACTCTCCCAGTTTTTAATGAGACACAAACAATTTTTGTACCTAAAATGGTATTGGTTATTTCATCGTTTTGATATGTATACAAAAAATGTTTCAAACTACTAACGACACTAAGTTCCAGCTTAAGTAAATGTTATATTACTGCACAATAAATAACAAATTCTTCTAAAATTAGAAAAATATTTATTCCCAATGCAAATTAAAAACACTTGCTAGATGGAAAAGTGATTTACTTTGTATAGCGTTGCCAGCCGTAATTACTTATGCCGCCAGTGGGTATTCACAACTCAGGTAATATTTCGTATTTCGTGAAAAATTTATATGACGGAATTGAACGATTGCTCTTATGAGTATTGAAAATTTTTTCTAAAGTGTAAGATAAAAACACAAATATATAGAATTTCAGTTTTATTGCAAATTTATTATCATATGTTAAGTGATTGCATAAGTAGCATCATTACCACTATTTAAAATATTTGCAATATAAATACAGCATTAACCTTATTATTTAGATTGTAATTGTAAATATTAAAAAAAATATATTGTCAAATAGTGTAAAAAAGGCTTTTCTCGGTGTCTTATTTGTGAGCAGGTGAGTTTGTAAGTACTTCGTTAGCATTAAGATGAAGAAAAGCATAAAAGTGAACGCTTTATGGAAGAAATAATGTTAATGTGCGCGTTGAGTATACGTATTTTGTATAAGTCCTTTATGTTGAAGCAATATATGCTGTACTGGCTAAGCTCAAATAATCATTTTTAGCAATTTCTTAATATTCAAAATGCACCATATCCTGTAAAATAAAAGCATAGCATTAAAACCAATAAACAATAATAATTATGGCAGATTTGTAGTACAATGAGAAAAGTTGCGGCCAAAATAACTGCCTTCATTCGCACATCTAATTCGATTGGAAATTTCACTCCAAAATAATCAGCGTCAGTAAACATTTCCTTGTTAATACCTGTCCACTGCTTTGAAACTTTTCCGATCTTATCTCCATTCATAGCAAAAATCTAAAACAACAAGAAAAAACGTTAACTTTGCACCGATATTATAATACCCTTTAGAGATGATCCAGTTAAATTATTATTTTTTTTATAGATGAATATGAATTCATGTATGTATGTATTATATATATTATATATGTATGAATACACATGTTTTTATTTATAAACTTTAAATTACTTACATCAAACTCCACATTTGCACAGCATTTGAAAGTGCAGCGCGGCCCACGCACACGCAATACATTTTCACCATAAGCATTTTTAATTAAATATAATGGACGTAGTAGTGACCATTCTTGTTCCACACTACCAATAACCGTACCGGGCGGCGAAGATACTTCTAATGTTTGCAAACAACATGGAAAGCAACAGGATTCGCAACGTAGTGGTCTATATATATGCAGCACTTCATTCTGAAAGTTGTCAAGAATTTGTATATCGAAAGGCCGACAAGAACCGCACAAGTTTCTAGTCAAACAATGTGTGTCTTCCACAGCCAGATAGACATTTTCGCCAGCAGAATTCTTTATTTTTGATTTGTTTTTCATTTCACAGCCAAAGAATACTTCAACCAAATCCACTTGTTGCTTTATAAGCAACTGGTCCACGGCTGTTAGATACTCTAGACCAGTTGGACAGTTAGGTATGCCAATAGGAATGCTCATCCAAGCTTCTATTGGTAAGGAATCAATAAATTGTTAGAAGATCTACTGCAATAAAACACCGTATTTAGTTATAAAAAAATTTACCTGCTGGTGACATAGTGGCTCGTGGTTGTCTCACAATTGGTGGAGCATCTTGAGGCACCCCTTCATAGTCCCGATTGTTTTGCATTCTGTAAGTCGTTTATATTTTTTGAGTATGAAGTAATCGTCAGCACTTTAAATATAAATTTTCTTGACTAACGATTTTCGTTATTGTTTTAATAAATTTTAAACAATTCGTTCAAAATTAAAATAACTAAATAAAAATGCGTAACAGACACTCCTTAAACAAAAAAGGGAAAATTAAACCGCAACAACAATCCAATAGGCAGGAAGAATGATAGAAACTCTTGATAAAAACAAAAGCTAAATGCGAAAGTGTGTACTGAAAAGGGAACATATTTTTTTTTTTTTTTTTAAGTTTTAACTATAATAAAATGTTTCTACACAAATTACAAATTGATTACAACCTGAAGTTTATAAATGTTTTTAATTATATATACATTTGTTTTATTATTTTGTGAAATAAATATAAAAAGGGGTATAATGAGTTGGTGTACGCCATGACAAATAATACAACCTTGTGTTTTTGCCGGTTGCACTGTGCCAATCTTTATCTTGTTGTTTTTTATTTTATTATTAAATTTTACAAAGTGAGTGACGCTTAAATATTTTATTATATTATACGTTCTCTGTTTATAGGTTCAAACAAAACATTTAAAAATCTGTAAACTAATCCTTTGAACAAAGTGTATATTCCAGATTTATAATTTCTTCAAAATTAACATTGCCAACTTATTTATAATGATGTTTTACTTTGTTATTGTTCCCTTATTTGCTTCCGTCATCAAAGTATTAGCTCCCTCTCTTTTTTCCTTTAATGTGTAAAAAACAATTTTAACTGATAAGTTGTTATTACGTTAAATAAGCCGGCATCAATCAAGAATTTTATCAGCAATACACGCATGAGAACTATATAAGCACATATATAGCGACCACGCATAAGTTCGATTAGATATCACCATTCAGTGGCTAAAAAGTGTTTGCGTGGCTTTATACATGTTAATACTGTTACAAATTAGTATTTACAGATTTCGGATGCTACCACGCACAATGTTGTCGAAACTTTGTATTCTTATACTGTGTGCAGTATTAACAGCCGGTAACAAATATGAGGAAAGTGGTTCATGCCATTCATTTGCTGGAGGCTCTGTTTATCCTTCCGAAGGACCTCGTGGTGACCACAAGTTGCAAACCACTAAAGCCGTCAGTGAGTATTATTAAACATACTTATTTTTGGTATATTTATAGTGTATTTATTCTTTTTGTAGTATCTAAGGCAGCTCCAACGTTTGAAGGTACAGCTGTTGTGAAAGGAGAATTCGTTAAATTATCACTTTCCCAATATCATGGAAAATATTTAGTACTTCTGTTTTATCCACTTGACTTGTCAGTGATAATTTGTATTCCCATCCATTAAATTGCTTAATTGAATAAATTTTTATTTTCAGCACCTTTGTGTGTCCCACCGAAATTATAGCGTTTTCTGATCGCATCGAAGAATTCCGTAAGATAAATGCTGAAGTCGTTGCGATTAGTGTAGATTCACATTTTACACATTTGGCATGGATAAACACACCCCGAAAGGAAGGCGGCCTTGGATATGTAAAAATTCCATTGCTTTCAGATTTGACGCATAAGATTAGCAGGGACTATGGAGTTTATTTAGAAGATTTAGGTCATACACTACGTGGTCTATTTATCATTGATCATCGTGGAATCTTACGACAAATTACTATGAATGACTTGCCAGTGGGACGTTCAGTAGATGAGACACTTCGTCTGGTACAAGCATTCCAATATACCGATACACATGGAGAAGTTTGTCCAGCTGGTTGGAAACCTGGTGCAGAAACAGTAATAGAATAAAATTACACGTATCCATAGTTATAAACTAACATATTTTATTTTCAGATTGTTCCAAATCCCAAAGAGAAAACGAAATATTTTGAAAAGATTAACAAAACTCCATAATATTGAAAATTCTTAGCTTAAAAAATTCATATTTTGATACCAAAATAAATATATTTCAAATTTTCGCTAATGCCGTTTAGAACTTTTACTACTACTTCCCCCACTTTTAGAACCTTCTCCTCTTTTACGTTTGTTAAGCGGATTTCTAGGATCATATGCATCGTACCAATCGTCACCCTTAGTGGACGCATCCTTCGCCATTATGGGTGTCGCTTCTTCGAACTTTAATGTGTGCGCCAACCAATCGTCGCTCTGAATTTCTTTCTCAATGGTTCCATCATCTAAAGACTCATTGGTTTCATTCGATTCAGATTGCTTCTGTTTAAGTGCATCCAATTTATTTCGGAATTTCGATAGTAAGCTTAAAGTAAAATCTTCTCGGCTGGCACCCTTTTTTGGTATTTTTGATTTTAAGCCGCTGTATCTCACTTTTTCATCGACAAAGTTTTTTATGAATTCATTATCTTCAGCGGGGTTAACATTTAATTCGTCAGTTTTACTCTTCTCCGTTTTTTTATCATCCAAATTTTCTCTTTGACGTTTTTCAGTTTGATATTGTTTCTTCAGGTTTTGAATTTCTTGTCGAATTTCATTCCTAAAAAGAATTAACGGTTTAATATATGTAGAAATGTTTATAATATATAATTACCTCTTCAATTCGCTTTTTATTTTTTGCTCCTGCTCTTGTGTCAACAGAACGTCTTCGTCAGAGTCAGACAGTTCTTCTTTTATTTTAGTTGCTTCCGTTTTAATTACGTTTTTAGCCTCATTTGTCTTTAGCTGCAATTTATCTTTGATTCGCTGCCGACGCTCCTCTATATCATCATCATCCACTGGTTCTTTTTTGACACATGCTAGTCTTCGTTCCTCTTCCAACATGTCTTCATCATCTGACCTTATGTTGGTATCTTCGATACGTAAAACATCCTTGCTAAGTTTAGGGTCATCTACCACATCGTGCATTGATTTTGCCTTTCCGGCATTTTTTTGTACAAATTGATTAGTTTCTTCTTCATCTTCCTCTGCTTCTTCTCCAAATGAAAGCAATCCAAAATTTCTGTAAAGAAGTCATATAAGAAAACAACTTCACACAATATAAAAACTTAATTTAATTACTTGACACCCTTTTCACGTTTTTTAGTTTTTTCTTTTTTAATTTCCTTTGCTACTTTTCGTGGCACTATATCGTCAAAAGGATTGCTTAATATTTCAGCGCCCAATATTCTTTGAGGATACATGGGACGTTCATTATGATCCACTAAACCATCCTCCAGTTTTAGCATATTGTACAAAGTATCACCTGTCACCTTGCCGAAAAGCGTGTTTTTGTTTTGAAGCTCCGGTGTGGCGGCCAAAGTGAAGAAAAACTGTGACCCATTATCATCTTTATCGGCATTTGCCATTCCAACAAGTCCACGCCGCGCATAACGTAGACGAGAATGAAATTCATCCTTAAATGTGTGACCGTAAATGGATTCTCCACCAGTTCCATCGCCATTGGGATCACCACCTTGTACAATGAAGCCTTTGACTACGCGATGAAAAATTGTGCCAGTGTAGTATCCTTCCATACAAAGTTGTATAAAGTTACGACATGCTTTGGGACATTCTCGAGACCATAATTCTATATCTATGTCGCCAGCGGTGGTCTTGAGGAGAACCTATATATGAAAATTATTTTAATTGCCATCTTGATATAAAAAACATCTTACCTTTCCTGAAGTCGGTGGTTCCTGAATATAAATATTACTCATTGTTAAATAGTTTGTTTATAGTTTGATTTTATTATTTATAAGTTCTGATAAATATTAGTTATTCACAATAGTGAAATTGCGATAGCATTCCCAGCTGTTATTATATATTCTGACTGACGTTAAGGTGACCACGCAGTCTTAAAAGTTTGATAGAACTTTTTTTTGCGCTCCTTTATAATCCAAGTTATAATCTTTGACTATTATGTACAAATTAAGAAATTTTAAAGAAATTACTGTGATACAATAATTAAATCATTATATTTCTTATAATCAAGCAAATTATCCATAAAAAAGTGTTTAATTCAATACTACGAAAAAATAATTGTTGTTTTGTACATCCATGTATACACTATGCCTGGAATAACTTACTGATCGCTTTGCATTTTGCAAAGACCCTGCATATCAGCTGTTTATGAACAAAATAACAGAACTATTTAATATTTAGCGTGAAAGGCGATTTTCTAAAGAAGAGAGAATTCTCGAAAATATTACCTTGTTTGGCTAATTATATTATATTTTGTTCACCAAACTGTTTTGAGCAATGACTGACGAGGCCAAAGAAGGCGAAGAATTCACATTGGAAGCAGATTCTGAACTGCGTTTTGAAATAGAAGACAAGGATGCGAAAGTTTTCGTTACGGTGGGTTTAAAAAATTACAACAATTTTCATAATTTAAATGTGCGATTTTTAGCTCATTTCTGGCTTTGCCGAAATGTTTGGTACTGAATTGGTTAAAAAGAAAAAATACGAGTTTCTAACTGGCGCGAAAGTGGCAATTTTTACCTACCATGGTTGCGTATTAAATGTAAATGGCAAAACTGATGTTAGTTACATTTCAAAGGAGACGCCAATGGTACAATACTTAAACTGTCATGCGGCCTTAGAGCAAATGCGTGCTAGCGCTGAAGAAAAGGATGACCGTGGACCAATTGCAATGATTGTAGGACCATTAGACGTAGGAAAAAGCACATTGTCTCGTATATTTCTTAATTATGCTGTACGACTTGGAAGACGTCCGTTATACGCTGATATTGACGTCGGACAAGGATCTATTTCTATACCAGGTACTATTGCTACAATACTCATTGAACGTCCAGCCAGTATTGAAGAGGGCTTTTCTCAGACTGCACCCTTAGTGTATCACTTCGGTCATAAAGGCCCAGGTAGTAATAATGTACTATATAAAGCGACAGTATCGAAAATGGCAGAAGTAACGCTGGAATCCATGAATGTCAACAAACGAAGTAAGTAAATATAAATTTTGTCCGGTAACATATCTGCATGTACATATTTTTAGCGAAACATTCCGGCATGATAATAAACACCTGTGGATGGGTAAAGGGTGACGGTTACGCTCACTTATTGCACACAGCACAGGCTTTCGAAGTCAACGCTATCTTTGTATTGGATCAGGAGCGTTTGTATAATGAGCTTTTGAGGGATATGCCATCGTTTGTGCGAGTCGTGTTGCTGCCAAAAAGTGGTGGTGTAGTGGAACGAAGTCGAGCTTTACGTAGTGAACAGCGCGACCTACGTATTAAGGAATACTTTTACGGCTATCGAACACCTTTCTATCCATTCTCATTTGAAGTGAAGTTTCAAGATTTGAAGCTATACAAAATTGGCGCTCCGCCGTTGCCAGATTCCTGTATGCCTATTGGTATGAAAGCGGAAGACAATAAAACCAAGGTTGTGGCAGTAACGCCCAGCCCATCATTGCTACATCATATTTTAGCGATTAGTTTTGCTGAATCGACCGATGAGGACGTGATTGGAACTAATGTGGCTGGTTTTGTTTGCGTGTATGTAATATAAAAAATATATTTTCTGAATCATAATTTGAGAGATTTTGTTTAATCATTTCAGTACTGATGTGGATATGGATAGACAGACTATAACTGTTCTTTCACCGCAACCACGGCCATTACCTAATACCGTGATGCTATTATCTGAATTGCAATTTATGGACATTGTCTGAATCTATTAACACAAATTTGTTGCAAATTGATTTATTTTATCAATAAATAAAACATATATTTTTTCAAAGAAATAAAAAAGTTGTATTTGTATCTGTAATTATTTAAATATTTTACAAATCTTTTCTTATAATAATTTCTTAACTTTTTTGCAAGTTCAGCTTAAATATTTATGAAGTAGGTGGCTTTTGTACTTTAGCAAGTTCCGCTTTGAACTTCGCTATGGTTTCACGTGCTAGTTTTAACTTGTCCTTTAGGGAGTTTATTTCACTTTTTACTTTTCCTTTTACATCAATTATATTTTCCAAGGTTTTCTCTTTCTTTGTTTCAACTATATATTAAAAAGATATTGTAATATTTTCAAAAAATATAGATTATAACACTCACAGTCGGTATCATGTGTGTATGACCCACTTGTTAACGGTTGTACGTTCATGAGAAAATGTTGCATTAGCTGAGTGGGCTCTTGGAAAACGATTTCCTCATACGACTCGGATACCAAATGCACATTAGCAGCGCCCATTCGTTTGGTATTGTCTAAATTTGTGCTCGATAGCTCACCATCAACCACAGGGCTTTGGAATAACTTTAATATATGATAGCAAGTTACCGGCCTTTCTGTAGGATCATGGAAATATATTTTGATGACTACTTCAAATTCACCCCAACCTGTTTCGGTAATTTCATAAGGCGGTTTCGTTACAATTCGATTTGGATTGGCATAACTTTCGTGTAATTTAAAGTGAACTTTTTTCACGTAAACGGACATATCTTCATTGTGATACGGTTTTACATATACTTTCCATTGATGTGTATGTCCATCCTCGTTCTTTTTGCCAAAGGATCGTGCAATATTACCATATACAATAGGCTTAACTATAACCAAACCTTTTACACGCCCGCCTGAATCCGGGCCAAAATCCGTGGGTATATTGAGGCTGTTCATGTTTAGACTTTGCTTTAATTAACAATTTTACATTTAGTAAAAATTTCTTGTGTTTACCAATTTAGGCAACTGTTGTTATTGAATTCGTTTTTATTTGTCAAACTGTGCCACAAAACAAAATTGATGTATAAACATAGAAGTTAAATATGTGTGATTGCACACAACCCTGTGTTGGGCTGCTTCCAAACTGTAAAGTGCGTATATCTTCTTAAACTTAATTTTGTTAAACTTAATTACAGCAATAAGGAATACTGATTTATGATAGTCGTAATAAATAACTTTTAGATATTTCCGAATTTTACTAGGGCAGTTTTATACAAAATAACTAAATAAAAATGTTTAGTGCAACCCTGTTTTGCAATGCTGCCAACATTTACTTTCTTTTGCATTTTATATTAAACATTTTTCTTATTGGAATGTCAAATTAGACAAGAGAGCTATTTGAGAGAGCTGAAACTCTTGCATTCAAATTCGATTCGAACGTGGAGTTGTAAAGAACAATATTTCGTTGCAGCGGTGTGATGGTTTTTAATATTTAGTGTATTATCTTGTGCTATAAGAATTCTACAAAAATTTTAAAAGTACATTTTTATAAGAAGAAATAATTATACACATGCTTGAGTTGGATTCATTACGATAAGAAATATCGCGAGTGCTGTAAATTGTGCTGGTGTGTCAAGCTAGAGCTCCGCTGGGCAGCAGAAATAAATTTCACTGCCAACAACTAAAAAAAAATTATTAAAAAGTGGTTATCAGGTGGACGCCTAACAAGTGCAAAATATTTTTCATGCATTCACCAATGTACTAAATGAATTCTAACTGAAATCTGTATATTTAATTATATTATACAATAATGAATGCCTTTGATTTGACGACAGCGCTGCTTTGTTGTGGAATTTTTTTCATAAGCTGCAACATACGGAATGTTACTGCAGGTAATTATAGAATTGGAGAAAAGGCAATTGTTTTATTCTCGGCTTTTTTTTTTTTAACTTATAAGAAAAAGTATGTGGAAAAATAAAATTTATTATAATATTATACCTCTGACATTTATAATTTTTTTGGGTGTGACTCCACATTGAGATCGTAATGGCGATGTCTCATCATTCGTTGCTCTTGCTGTGGTTAATTGAACATGTTGGCTATTTACGCTCACATATATTGTTGGTAACAAATTATTTGTCCATACTCGCTCAAAGCCGTTTACGTGTGATCAACGCGGAGAGCGTATTAAAGCTGAACTTGTCCGCTCCAGCGCTAGATAGCTTACGAACTAGGTAGTCAAAACAGAGAGTATGAAAGCAACACCCATATTTTGGGAAAGGGGGAAAGGGTATAGTCAAGCTTAATGGTTGTTGTCGTTTTTGTTTTTCAATATTATGTATAAAGGTAATGACCGCTGATTCATAAAACTGCCTTATCTAAAGATTTCATAAGAAACATGATCATGTAGCTTTTATTAAGAATATTTAATTAAGTACATAAATTTGCGTGTACGTATGAATGTAGTATTTGCAATAGTTTGCTGTTGGATATGTATACACTTTACCAAGCACAAATTGGCACCGGCGTTTTATGACATACTGCCGGAGCAGTTAATGCGCATGCGAGATATTTCGGTCAAAGGTTCAGCACCATGTCAAACACGTGAATTTAATGTTGGTATTTCAGGCTTTGCTATTGTGAGACCATTTATGTACATATTAAAAAAAAGAAACGTCGGCAATGCTCCAGACAAGCTCCTTTGATTTTACATTTGGGAGGTTTCGTAAAAGCTAGTAGTGACTTCGATTAAACAACTATTGGCATATTTGCAAACTCCTAGACAACAACATAATTGATCAAGCAATAGTCAAACATCTACATATACATAGTAAATGGAACTTGGGAATATCTATTTAATGTACATATACATATAACTTCATATGTTAAGAAATAAACTTCATTACAAATGTTTGATCTTTGTTAGACCCATGCTATTTAATTTTAAAATTTTATATTAATTCTGTTTTTCTATTTAGTTTAGGAAAATAAGTAAAGAAAGCTTAAAACCCCACATACATGTAAGAATTGTTGCATTATCCTTTTGTTAGTCGCACTTGAGTAGTGGCACTTAGCCAGGATAAGGCAGCATGAACACAAAACAACCCAAACAGTATACACAGGCGACGGCGACAGCCAGATTGTCTGCACCACTCAAAAAAGGGTGGTTTATTTTGCAAACGAAGGTAGGGTGTTGTTAGTCTTGTTTACATAAATATGAGTAATAACATATATTTATGGAATTGTGTATATAATATGTTTGGGAAATGTTCATGAGCAGGATAATGCTCATGGTAAGGTGCATACCCAAGTCTATTTGTAAGTTATAATATTTAAAAGAGCTTTATATCACGTTTCTGTTTACTTGTCAAAATCATAAGTTTGCTGGCTTGTATGTAGGCTGTCGAGAACGAGAGTAGGTAGTTGCTGTAGAAAATTACACATCTTCACAAAAATGCATGCAACAAGAATACCAATAATTTGTTCCTGCTATTTTTTATTCAAGAAGAGAAATGTGAGAGCTTGTTCCAATTTTTTTAATTAAACTAAAATAGCAGATATGAAAACTTAATTACGAGAACTGACAACTTCAGCTGGATGAGTGCCAGAAAAGAAAACTTTGTGTTTATGAATGTGGGTCACATTATAAGCAAAACAAACAATGAATTTATAAATTAAGAACACATAGTTAAAACTTACATACATATGTTGCGTTATTTCCTAGATGTGAATTTTAAAACTTTGCATGTTTTCAGATTCCTATAACGACTACTTCTCTGATTACGATTGTAATCAACCACTTATGGAGCATGCTGTTCTTACGGCCACTTCATCTTTGAACGATAGAGGTCCGGAGAAGGCGCGCCTTAATGGTAAGTGTTGATGAAGTGTTGCTTGCTGCTAGTTTGATATATGAAAAGATTAATTCTATAATTTATAAATATACATACGTATGTATGTATGGCCATTTATCAGAAACCTTACTAGGGGGTTTGTCGATTTATAACTTTGTTTGTTCACATATACTTTTATTTTCATTGAGCATTCCACTATTTTTTTATAAACAAATGGTTTGGTAAAAATTGCTCTCAATAATATATTATAGACTAAATATACATACATACATACGTATCCTTGTATTGGCTGTAATACAGCAAATAAGTTTTATTTTTATCATATAATTTATTATGAATCATAAAATGTTGTGAAAGCGAGTTCGTGTGTTCAAAATTTTACGGTGTTAAAAGTATCATACAATAATTTATACATTTAAGTACAGTGGCGAAGTTTCTGTGTGAGCGGATAATAGAAGCATACTTTTGCTTTTTTAGTAAATGGAACAAATATTTTTTGTTTTATATGAAGCTTATTTGTCTCTTTAAGTCTGCTATTTATAGTTTATTTATTAAATAGCTAACCACAAGCAAGTGTATTCGACATGATGTTATAGAGTTTTGGCATTTATTTCTTCAGTATTTTACGCAATTCTATATTTTAAAAACAATTTATTGATATCGCATTTGAATATATCTGCCTTATTTTTAGTTTTATATGCACGTACTAAGTATATCCGGTTCTTTTGAATGTAATCAACTTATTAGTTGTGTGTATCATTTTTCTATTGGATGATTATAGCAACATACATATGTATATATTTTGAACTTAATTAAATTTATTTATTTATTATTATTATTATTTTTTTTTTATAAGTAATTATTAAAAACTATTATACCATTTTATTTCATTCAAAGTAGCTTTTTAGCACATTCTGCCCTCACTACGGTATGTTTACATTTTTTATCGCTTTGCGCTTAAGAGGTTGGTAGCACTGCATGTGCTCAATTCGCTCTCTTACACTTTTTATTACTCATTGAGTTTTGTTTTGTGCACATTTTGACATTTCGACAGTTTTCAATTGGAATCAACTTGTTTGTTATGTATTATTAGTAAATTTGATTTTAATAAAGAAAATTAAATAAAAATACTATAAAATAGTTTACAAAAGTTTAAGGCAATGATGCAACATAAATGTACTCGTTGGGCCGTTGATTTGGCCAGCTGGAGTCCAACATTATCGCAACTTGCACAGGCGGTCGCTGTCATACAGCCTGAGGAACGGGATCGATTGATGAAATTCGTATTTCTAGATGATTTCCTTTCGTCTCTTTTTGGCCGCCTGTTAATGCGAAAATTCGTCAGTGTCCATAGTGGTGTCGACTATAAGGATGTGCGATTTGCACGTGATGTACGTGGAAAACCTTATTGGGTACAACCAGAAGATAAATGCCACTATCCACTCTCATTCAATGTATCACACCAGGGGAAATTTGTAGTGCTTGCAGGCATTTCTGCCCAAAGCGACTTAGAAGCAGCAGCTACAGCACCTAATACTACCGCCATTTCAAAAGTGGGAGTTGGCGTTGATGTTATGAAATTTGAATATAGTGGAGGCAAAAATCTAGCTGAATTCTTTCGTATAATGCAGCGTAAATTCTCTGACAGTGAATGGCGCTATATACGTCACCCACAGCATAATGAGGCCGACCAAGTGAAGGCGTTTATGCGTCATTGGTGCCTCAAAGAGGCGTATGTTAAAGAACTTGGTGTGGGCATAACTGTTGATTTGCAAAAGATCAGTTTCACCGTGGATACTACGCGTGAGTTGGATGTTGCGGCATCACCATTAACCGGTACAACATTACACCTCAATGATTTACCCGAAAATGATTTCCACTTTGAAGAGCATTTACTAGAACCAAAGTATTGTGCAGCAATTGCATTTAAAAATTATAAGCCAGTTCTGGGAAAGTTTGAATTCGTAAAAATTGAAGACCTTTTGGTGGCGACAGAAAAAGCAACAGACGCTGAGATAGTAGAATACTGTAGAGGAGTTTTAAAAAAAGAACTGAAGCGATAGTTCCTGCTTGTATTTATACCACAAAATAGTTTTAGGCATAAACGCATTTTTGTATTCCGGATGTATGTATATACATACATATATGAATAAAAATATATTTTTAATATTAATTGTTTTTATTGTAACGTAAATTATTTTCGCTTTTTAGCTGTAGTAACTTTATATAATATATTTTTTTGGTAATTTACACACTTTGATTTTATGTTAGAACTCTTTTAAGTTTAATTTAAACTTTTTATAGTAAGTTTCGCTGTTGAACAAAATTTTATTTAGAAATTTATTAGGCATTTTTATATTAAAAAACTGGCAAATAAATAAAAGTGTATAAAAAATATCTAGAATGAATGGTAAATGAGTTTTTTTTTTTACATATAAGAACGAGATTTTGATAGATCAGTTGGCAGCTAAATCTCATAATGCTCCGATTTAATTTGCCCTATTCAGGGTATAAATAAAACCTTTAAAAGAACAAAATATATATATACACTTGTGCTCACATAATTAAGCCACTGCATAGCAAAACTACGTTT